CTGTAATACTGTCAACAATAAAAAAATAAAAATAAAATAAAATATATATGGGTATAAAAAAACAAAAAAACTCTCTGAGGGGGCCCACATGTTGGATTCAGTAGTTATTATACTCAAAGTAGTTATTCACAGTAGTTATTATACTCAAAGAACTAAAAAACAAACAAACCTATATATAAAAAAAATTAAATGAAAATATGACATCAATGACTCAAGAGATAGAGAATATCAATAAGGAGATATAAATGATGAAGAATATCTAAATGGAAATTCTAGAGTTGAAAAATACAATAAATGAAATGAAAAACTCACTAGACTTGTGGGACATTCAACATACATATAATGGGAGTCCCAGAAGGAAAGTGAGAAATGGCAGAATACACATTTAAAGAAATAATGGCCGAAAACTTCACCAAATTTGAATAAAATGATTAATCTATATACCTATAAAGTTCAACAAACTCCAAGATGAACACAAAAAAGACCCACACTTAAGCACATTATAATCAAGCTGCTTTTTTTTTTTTTTTTTTTTAAAAGAGGGAGAGGGGGACAGAGGGAAAGAGAGAGAGAAAGAGAGAAACATCGACTAGGTGCCTTCTGCATGCTCCTGGGGATCAAACCCACAACCTAGTTATGTGTCCTGACTTGGAACTGAACCCATGACCTTTCAGTGTATGGGATGACACTCCAACCAATTGAGCATGGCCTAAAATTTTAAAAGGTGAAGCAGACAACAGTTATAACAGCAGAAACAAAATGAGAAAAATTAACATCATTAGGCTAACAAATGAAAAATCTTTAAAGCACACTGTAAGAAACAGTAGAAAGGCTACTCTGGATTGCCCTTATATGACAGAGCCTTCTCCAGGGCAGAATGATGAAGAGCTCTGTTAGTTTGGGCCAGGCATTTCGAGCAATGCAACGCAGACTTCAGATTATCAAAGACTATAAACTTGTTCTGTATGAAGCTTCACAATCTCCCCATCTCTGTTCCCCTACCTTATCCCCCATCTAATGTGCCCTCTCTCTCTTTTCAAATCTCCTTACCACTCAGACCTAAGTTCCACAAACAACAGCAAGTGATAGAGGGCATAAGACAGTAATTGAACATAACTTTTGTGGTCCCATGCATTCAGACAACATCAAACATAGAATATTCCTGTACGCTAACAAAAAACATATCAACAAACATGGCATAAAAAGTAATTCAAATGCACATCAAATATTTTAAATATAAGTCAGGACATTCATACCTATATAATTCTAGAAAACTAATAGGATGAGAAAATCCTGAGAATATGTGTCTAATTCCATTTCTTCATATTTTTCTTCACTTTCATTTTAAACCCACCCAAGAGAAAAGAAGGAAGCACGTCTTTTCCAATTACCTGTTGTGTAAGACTGCTGAGTGGCCAAATCTGTTGACATCATGGTGCAGATCAGGTCTGGGAAGCACTGACCAGCGGTCACAAGCTAGGAGCAAGAAGAACACATTTCAGATGACACTGCCATTCATCATCAATAGGAACTGGCATTCTCTTTGGGAAGAAAACTGCAACAAACACAACCTCATAAAATGGGTCTTTTGCTTTTTGTTAGTCACATCTTCATTTCTGAGGTAAAATGCAACAGCAGCAGACCAAGAGGGCATTGAAGAAAGGCAGGACCATATGGCAATTCTAATTGGTGAATACATCCAACATGCATGACACTCACACCTATCCACCCAGCTAGGATGTTTTCTGAGTTAAGCAAATTTCACATTTTTTCAGAGCTTATGTAAGTAAAACATGAGTTCCATAATTATTTTCCACTCCATACTGACTTGCCCCAACGGTAGCTAAAATAGGAAAATAAGGTAGAAAATTAAAACTAAAAAAAAAAATTAAAAAATCAAACTTTATTTTTTCAGTCCTTTCCTAGAGCCCTGACCAGTGTGGCTCAGTAGGGTGGCAGGTTTGATTCCGGGTTAGGGCACATACCTGGGTTGAGGGTTCAATGATGCCTGCCCCAGGCAGGTATGGGAGGTAACCAATCAATGTTTCTCTCTCATATCGATGTTTTTCTCTCTCTCTCGCTCCCTTCCTCTCTCGAAAATCAATAAAAAGCATATCTTCAGGTGAGGAAAATAAAATAAAAATAAATAAAATAAAATATAAAAAAATAAAATAGTAAAACAAAAGCCCTTTCCTAGATCCCTTACCTTAGATCTTCTCATTTTCCTTTGTTCTGATCCGTGCTATCAACTTCTCTTACTGGTAAACCAAACTCACACTCACTGTCTCTGAGGTACTTAGGACATTCACACTCACTAAACAAAGGTTCTTCCACTCAATCCAGACCTTTATTCAACCTTGACAACAACAGATTTCATTTCCTCTTATCAGCCCACTGTGTGGTCTTCTTCACACAGAGAACAGAGCTGCCACCCACCTTGTTTCCTTCCCTAAAACCACAGTGTGGCAAAGACCCTTTCCTCTTAGTGCACCTGGCTTTCACAGCATTGAGCACAGCATTTAAGTATGCTCAAGCCCTGGCCAGTGTGGCTCAGTTTGTTGAGCAGCGTCCCATGTACCAAGAGGCCGATGGTTCAATTCCCAGTCAGGGTACATGCCTGGGTTGTGAGCTTGATAATCAGTAGGGGCATGCAGGAGGCAGCTGATAGATGTTACCCTCTCACATTGATGTTTCTCTCTCTCCCCCTCTCCCCTTCCTCTCTCTCTAAGATCAATAATAAAAAGATAAATATGCCCAAGAAGGTACACAACTCACCCCTTCTTCCCCTCACAGATAAATTTTTTTAATTAAAATAAATATTCACTGTGCACATCTCACCTTACACTGTTTTTTGTTTCCTGCAATCTGGATTACTCCTCTATGTCTACAGGACAATAAATAACCTGTTGCTAAATCTGAAAAAACTCTCCAGGCCTTATTTTAATCCCTCTGCAGCCATTGTTAACAGCTCTCTCACAGGATGCCAATATTGCCTCACTTTCCTCCTACTCCCTCTGACATGCTTTCACAGTCTGCATTCTCTTTCTGAAGTCTTTATCTATCTATCCTCTGGCTCTCTGCTCACCCCTGACAATACATGTTCCCTACAGAATTTCACTCCCTCCTGGAGCTCCCCACTGATCTCTGCATTGCTCCATCCTACAGTCATCTCCAGCTGAACAAGCTTCCAAACTCGCCTTACTTACCTTCTCCCAAACCCTGTCCCTGTACTTCTATTTCCAGCCTTGGTGAAAAGCACCACCTACCCTGGCTAACACTGGATACCAGCAAATCAATGCTTCCATCTCTCTCAAAATACACCCCAGATAATCCTCAAGTTCCCAGGAGTTCTCAAACCTGTCTCTTTATCCTCACTGCACCTTCCAGAGCCTTGGTTCAAACCCTGCTCAGAACTTCAGCAACAGCCTTTTAACTCCCATCTTGCCCCTTCCCAATTACTCATCACATGCCACAAAGAGATCTTCCTAAAACACAAATATGATTCTGTCACCTACTCTGTAAGATTCTTGACAAAGCCCAAACTCCTTAGCATGACATTATAGGTCTTTCAACATCTGACCAGTCTGATAGCTGCTTGGGTCCCTCGTTCCAGTTGAAGCTGTTCCTCCCCTATGTACAACTAACATACAGACAAAACTATTTACAGGCCCCAAGTATGTGACATGGCCTCTTTCTGCCTCCGCCTGAGAAGTCCGCCTAACTCTGCCTAGCTGCCTTTCCAGTGTTCCTCAGGACCCAGCCTAAAGAGCCCCTTCTCAAGAAGGCTTTCCCTAACCATAACCCTTACCCTCATTAGTTAAGGAATGTTCATAGGTGCTCTCATACATTCATCTTAGAGCAAGTAACACCCTGAATCGCAATTATATTGTATGCTCAGTTCTTTGCCTCCTCCATTACAAGGCCAAGGTCAATGTACAAGCTCAGTGGCTGGCACAAAAATGAACATCCAATGATGATATTTGTACAAGAGAACTGCTAGCATGAACAAATACTGCCCTCTTCTGGTCACAGTATTACCACTCTGAAATTTTTAAAAGAATGTGAAATCGGTATCCAAGGAACCAACTTAAAACAATGCTGGTTCAACAACTCCATGACACTGCTGTGTAAGACATTTGTAGCACAGGAGAGCCCAGTTATCCCAATCCATCCTCAAAAATTAACATTCAACTAATTAAAAGAGCAATTTCAAAAAGAATTTAATATAGAAGTAATGTTTCTTTAATGGCTATAACATTAGTCAAATTAACTAAAAATACTGTTCAGGCCTCTTTCAAATGGTCTGACCATTTTTTACTAGCAATATTTTCCGTTTCCTTTGAAACGTTACTTATAGACAAAAAAGAATCTTGAAGATAAAGTGGCTTTGGAAAACTTACCAATGTCATAAGCCATGAAATCTGAAGAAAAGCATTTGGCGCCATGGCTCATGGATGTGTCATTGTGTGTGTTTCCTCCAAACACCAGCATGGTTCCACTCACTATCACAGCTGTGTGCAAGTAACGGAAAAATCGGCTGTCCTTAAGAATGGTCCTTTTGAGATTTAAAAATAATAAACACAAGGTTAGTTTTTTACAATACTTATCACCTATTCACTAATGCAAACATAATCTTTTTGTGTGTGTATTAATCCTCACTAGAGGATATTTTTTCCATTGATTTTGAGAGAGTGGGAGGGGGGAGAGGGAGATAGGGAGGGAGAAGGAAAGGGAAAGAGAAAGAGAAAGAAACATCGATGTGAGTGAGAGAGACACATCGACTGGTTGCCTCCCGCACACACTCTGGGGCGAGGGGGCCAGGGAATCGAACCTGCAACCCAGGTACGTGCCCTTGACTGGGAATTGAACCCTCGACCCTTTGGTCTACAGGCCAGCGCTCTAACCACTAAGCCAAACTAGCTAGGGCAACATAACCATTTTCTTAAGTTCACATCCAAATGTTCAGATACTTCTGGATTTTTCCCTACATATACCTTTCTTAATAATAAGTAAACATGTAAAATCTTAAACACCTATGAGAATTTTGACAAAATATATTGAGCCTTAAAAATTGATGACTCTATAATTGCAGTTTCTGGGTAGAAATTATATGAAATACAGACAGAAGCTTAATGCTGTATCAGTAAGACAAGCTAGAAACCAAAATTTCCAACTGTACAGAATCAATACACCTATGCAATGGGAGTATTACACAGCCACTGAAAATGGTAGACAGAATGTAAAATGGTATCCATAGTACAGTCTCAAGTATGTAGGAAAATACTAAAAACAAAAAGAGAAACTAATGCTTTATAATTACATTATTTCATAACTCAAAATCTGCTTTACATTTATTAAAATTGGCATACTATATATAGACCAATATATAGTTTAGAGTGAGGAGAGCTCTAATCTTTTAGGTACTGAGACCATCTCTGTTTGATGATTTCATGGAATGATGCCAATAACTGACCCCAATGATGACACCTCAGTCATCAAGAAAAGGTAAAATGGATATATTCTACTTAACTACAACAGTGTGCATAAACTCAAAATAATTTATTTGTTAGGATTCTGAAGAGCTAAAATTTTGCAGGGGAACAGAGTGTATGAAAATTGAAAACCATTCAAAAAATACCAAACATTTTCTAATCAGCCTACAACAAAATTATAGAATAATGCAACAAAATAAATACTAGCTACTTTATTACCTCCTGCTTATTTCCCAATTTCTTTGTAATGCTGAAGAGAATTATCTGCTAGGCCTAAAGACAAAAATATAGCATATTTTCCCAGAAATTGCCAGAATTCACACCTTAAAATGAAAGCTCAAGAAAAAGCACCCACCACATCTGGGTGTCCACGTCATATCTGTAGAGATCATCTGCAAGCCGGTATTTATTGGCGCTGAAAGCCTTGTAGCCTCCATGAACATAGACTGCCCTAGTCCTGTGATCATAGACACTGCTATGGCCATAGCCTCCTTGGACGAGGGCACCGTGGGTATGTAATATATTCCATGTGTTCTTATCTGAAAATGGAAAACAGTTAAAGGTAAATGTTGCGGGCTCCTCCTCTCTAATACTTAAAATTATGAAATAACTTAGGACAAGTGAAGAGATTTCAGGAGACTTGATACATGTAACTTTCTTTTATCATTTTATTTTTAAAGGAAGGCCACCTAAAAGTAATAAAGTCGGGTGGCCAAACTTCAATTTGTTAAATGTTCTGATGTTCTAATATGCAATATAGAAAAAAAATTACATTAAGTTTAAGAGTCATATTTCCCTCAATTGAACACTTAATTCCCCATGACCTATACTGACCAATATACACTCGTATTTTATGGGTCTACTTTCTCAAAATATAAATTATAGCTGGTACTCCTACTCCGTAAGAACGTATAAAAGAAAAATTAACCAAAGGAAAGATTTCATAATAAGGGGAAATCCCACTCCCCTAAACCAATCTCTAAAGAGCTAGCCAAATACATTTTTCCTTTAGAATATCTGTTGTTCTGAATCATTTTTGTTTGTTTGTTTACTTATTTATTTATTTACTTATTTATTTATTTTATTTTCAGCACCTAAACCATTTAGTGCCATCTTTGGCTCTGTACCAAACTGACAGTAGCAAATATATACTACATAGCAGCATCAATAATCTGAATTTTTACATGGATGTTAACTGCATTTCAAGATAAAGTACTGGGTCAAGGTTAGGTTGAATCTTGTTAAAAAGTCACAATAATAAGGGTAAAGGTTTTAAATTTGGCATTCAAAAAAAAAAAACTGGAAAAAAATATACTTACCCAAATCATATTCCTGTACATTGCTTATATACCCATAGAGAGGGCAGTGACCAAAGATGACGAGCATGACCACTCGGCCAGTGTTCAACGTGACAATGTGTGCAGAGTGCCCAACAACTGCATACTGCTCCTTTGCTTTCGGAGTCAACAATACCCACGATTCATTATGAATATGAAACACTCTCAACTCATTGGTCACATTCCCTGTTGAATCAATTTTTCCTCCATACATGTAAATTTTATCCTAGGGGGGAAATGTGAACAAAATTCTAAAAACATCAAAAGGATTAAATCTGAGAACAGAAAATGAGCAGTTCAAAACCTTAATATTATTCTTAGCTTAAAAAGTGTTAGTGAAATGCACCTTTCAGTGAATGACTAGAAAAAAGACGGCAAAAGAAACAAAATAAAATAAACCATATTCTATATCTCTAACAATTTGCTACTTTTCTTGGACTTCCTCATGGAAGATCTTTTAAAAATGACTTGAGCCTGGCCGGCACGGCTCAGCAGTTGAGCACTGACCTATGGTCTAGGAGATCAAGGTTCGATTTTCAGTCAGGGCATGTGCCGGGTTGTGGGCTCGATCCCCCCAGCAGGGGGCATGCAGGAGGCAGCCCATCAATGACTCTCATCACTGCTGTTTCTACCTCTCTTTCCCTCTCCCTTCCTCTCTCTGAAATCAATAAAAATATATTTTTTTAAATGACTTTGAAAAATAAAGTTGAAAAGTTCCCTCATCCTACCATAAACCACAAAAACAAGGAAATGAAAATGATTATTCAGTTATACTGCAATGTAGCTATTCTTGGCTAACCTTCCTAATGAACATAAACACCAATCTATACTTTATTAATTTTTAACCATTTAGTACCACAATCATAATATCCTAGTACAATTTCAATCCTTTAAAACTTCTCATGTTAAATATGTTTCAACTTTGACTTCCACTTATACATTAGCCAATCATAAACCTCCCCCAAATAGAACGTTTTCCCCCAATTAAAAGCCAACACTGATGTCAGAATCATAGAGACAGAAAGCAGAATGGTGCTTATTAGAGGCTGGGGGAGGAAGAAATGAGGATTTAGTGTTTAATGGGCATAGAGCTGCAGTTTTGTAAGATGAATGTATTTTAAAACCACTGAAATTTACATTTAAAAAGGGCTAAGATGGTAAATTTTATGTGATGTGTATTTTACCACAATCAAAAAGATTAGGGGGAAAAACCAACATTAAAAACTTCTCAACCACATAATATGATAAAGTTACTCTGGAAGAGTTGAGTTTCTAGCTCAGTACAGAGTGGAGACATTTTACCTTGTATAATGCTAAAGAATGGCCATATCTAACCACCACATTGTTCACAGACCGGTTCAGTGCAAGCCACTCCCTAGAAGCAAGGTCATACCTACAAAACAAACAGATCATATTTTCACCCAAATGACAAAACAGAATATCTTTTATTTGTAACAGTATTCTTTTATTTGTAATATAATCCAGTTTGGAGATGCTCATTATATCTGACATGCATATGGGGAGGCACCTGGGCAAACAAACCTAACATCTAGGCCTACTATGCATATGAGAACTCAGGAAGGGGGGCTGGGCTGCCCAGCCCTGGAACAAGAAAGAAAGGAATCTAATGGAAGTTTCTAATGCTTCCTGAAAACCTCTTCTATACACAGTCTAAATAACTTAAAGGCTGCATTATACTCAAGGAACTTAAACTTTTATTACCATAACCCATCCTTTATTTAATCATGTGAAATTAAAGATAAGTACTCAAAGGAGGATGATAATAAAAGAAAATTCCTAACTCTCCCTTTCCTTTACCTAATTGATTTTTTAAATTCATATTTTTAAAGAAAGCTTTAATATCATTATAGCATTTCAATTACACTATGAATACATTTTATACAAAAAAATGCCAAAAAGAAAATCATCTATACTCTTGCTTTGCAGCTTAATCACATTCAATACTTTAGAATATTCACTTTTAGTTTGTCTTTGAGAAAAATATCACTCTACTGTTTTTATTAAAATCATAATATTCATTATGAAGAATGTAACCAATGGCCCTGGCCTGGTAGCTCAGTTAATTAGAACATCATCCCAATACGCCAAGGTTGAGGGTCCGATCCCCCGTCAGGGCACATATAATCAACCAATGAATGCATACCTAAGTGGAACAACAAAAATCAATGTTTTTTCTCTCTCTCTCCCTCTCCTTTCCTCTATCTCTCTCAAATCAATAAACAAAAAATTGAGGAAAAAAGAATGTAATCAATGCAAAAATATAAAGAGTTAAAATCTTAAAAATGATCCCAAATTTAATCACCTAAAAATGAGTATCATTAACATTAAGTAAACATCATTCCAGACATTTTTTCTATGCATATATATAGATAGAAGAATAGAGTAACAACATATATTTAGACAAAGGGAATCATGCTATAGATGATACATTTAATAAATAGTGTTAATTTTAATTTCTATATAATTTAATAGAAGAAATCCAAGGGAAACAAATGCTATTGTTACACTTTAAAAGTTATTTATTTTCTATAAGTTTCCCTGAATAATCCAAGTTTTTAAAATTATGTAAACCATTACTATATGTTAACAAGAAGATGTAAAAAAGTTTTAACACAAAATAAGAGCAAGGGAGGAGGGAGTCAATGTGGGGGAAACGGAGACATCTGTAATACTTTCAACAATAAAAATAAATTTTTAAAATAAATTACATACTAAAAATTAGAGCAAAAATAAAATAACTAGAGTCTAAAAATACAATACAAAGACCAATGAAACCAAGAACTGGTCCTTTGAAGAGATAAAGATTGATACACTTTAACTAGACTCAAGAAAAAAAGAGAGGGCCCAAATAAATAAAATCAGAAATGAAAGAGAAGAAGGAACAACTGACACCACAGAAATACAAAAGATTGTAAGAAAATATTATTAACAATTATATGCCAACATATTGGACAATCTGGATGTAATGGATAAATTCCTACAAACAAGTACGATCTTTTAAAACTGAATCAGAAAGAATCAAGTAATCTAGACAGATTGTAACTAGTGAAATAGAAGCAGTAATCAAAAAAAAAAAAAAACTTCCAGCAAAAATAAACTAACAAAATAATAGCAAAAAAGGAAACAAATGTCTATCAACAGAAAATGGATTAATAAATTATAGTGTATCTATATAACAAAATAATTACACCAGCATTCAAGGGAGCACTATCTGCAAATTTCTGAAGGAAAGAAAGGATGGCTCAAGAATATTATACCCAGCCAAGGTGTCATTCAAATGTAAAGCTAGCAAGCAGATACCATTCTTAAACATGAAAGAATTTAGAGAAAGGAATATATATGAGCTCAACTAGAAAAAGGCTACTTGACAGTGAAATCCAGATAATAAGGAGTTAGAGACTTAGGAAAGAAAAGTTGTGGTAAGAAGTCTATAAAGAGATTGATTCAGCTAAAATATAGACCTGGTACTAAGTAACTATGGACTTATCAAGTGGAATATGAATGCTATTAACCTCCACAATGTAAAACTTATATAACAAAAATTGGGAGAAGAGATGGGAGGAAATGTGAGTGCTAAAGTTTTCAACTTTCAAAACAGGGAGTAGATTCTGTCCAAAATTAAATTGTATACAACTTAAAACAAAAGTGAAATCAACCTCTAAATTTTTCATGTATTTAAAAAATATAGAATATTCAAACAATACATAAAATCATAGGTGGTATTAATTTATGTACTGTTCACATTTAATAAATGTCACCGTTTTGTTAAATTTGTTTCAGATCATGTATATAATACTTAAGACAAAAGGAAAGGGTTAGAGAAAAATAATGAATACTAATGCATTTACCACCCAGGTTAGGAAATAAAATGTTGCTAATATAGTTGAAGACCCCAATATGCCCCTCCAAAATACCAGAGATAATTAATATCCTGATTTTGTGGTATCATTTGTTCACATACATATTTTTACACTTTAAATATATATAAACATATATTAGAATTAATAAAGTTCCTGTTTTTAGTCTTTACATAAATAGTATTATGTAGTTTGCTTTTTTAGCTTAACATTGTTTTGAGAATTATGTTGATAATAAGTTGCTTGAGTATATTCTCCTTTCAAGATGAGTGGCATGAGACCAGGTAACAGACCTTGAACTCTGGGAAGTACTACACAATGGCATATTTCCACTAGTAAACTATAAATTCAAACCATTTGACCTATATGTTAATTAAATGGAGAGATAAAGTAATCCCCTATTTATATGGAACCTACTATATATACTTATAGCCAAACATGAGAGAACAGTATCTGGAAGAGATGAATTATTGTTTATTACAATGAATTCTTTGTGGTTTCCGATTTCAAAAACTAAGGATATGCCAAAAAAGTTTAGAATACTACCAACCAAAATATTAACAGAGATTTTCCACCAGGTAATGGAATTACTGATGATTTCTTTTCCTTTTGTTTCTCTCTACTTTATAAATTTTCAAAACAGAAAATTAAGCTTTTTGTAAAAGTGTTTAAAACAACTTACGCTAGAACCATGCTGTAATCTGAGTGGTTGAACATATATCCTCCAACAACCCACATTATATTTCCATTGACCACAGCTTTGTGAGAGGCTCTGGGGAGCTTTGGGTTAGAATATTTCTCTTGAGTCCAAAATGACTGGTTAGCTGGTACAGGAATTGAACATCCAGGACCTAATAAAACATAATAAATTAGCTTCACAAAATGCAGCTTTAAAATTATTGCATTTCAAGTTTTAATCTTCTAAATGTAACAAATATCTAAAGAATACTCTGTCTTTCCCTTTAGAGTCTAGATATCAGACAAATTCCTTTAATTTGTGCATTTCGTTTACTCAAAGCTAAAGACCAAAGGTAATCTCTCATAAAATTCAAAATCACATACTTTTTAATGATGACCTGGCCATATCCAGGTTAGGATTTTTTAGTAATGCAATACTTGCTTCAACAGCCCTCAGAGGAAAGAAGGCAAAGGGAATATTAATGCAAATGAAAAAAAACCCCTTAGTCCCAGGAGTAATAGTACAAACTTCTCATTTCCTAGAAAATCAAGAAGCTCTATTCATGGAAGGTTTGGCTTCTACTGCAACATTTGCACAGTGGTAGATACTCAAATACTTCAATTATTTACCTCCTTGATTTCAACCAAATTGAACAAATAAAGCATTTAAACAAGCACATTTCCTTTCACAATAAAAGTGGTCTGAGGAAGGGATAAATGTATAAAGAAAATCACTAAATCTGTATCAGGTATCACCCACCCCTTAAAGAATTTGCAAAGTTTCTTTAATAATTTTTATCTACAGATAAATCCATTAGCTGACTACTTTAGAACTTTACTATATATTGAAGCTTTCAATATATAGTAAATAGAGGAGACACTATTATTGTCAGCTCGTCCCACCTCCCAGCTTGGTTCTCTGCTATGTCTTCTTATGGCTGAGACCAAGTTCTCCAACTTTCATGAATGAATTGCAAAGAATGTCAAACCCCTCCCCAATTCTAAAGAGACTATAACCACACATCTATGAATATCAAAGATTTGTAAAGCTCAATAAAGAGATGTAAAAACCTAAACACTGCCTGATATTTGAATAACATAGAAGGTATAGATGCTAGAAATAAAGTCAATTAAAAGTTATTAAACCAGAAATACACTGTAAATTGGAAGAAAAATGAAAGAAGCTCCTACCCTGCCACCCTGGTAAGCAGGAACATCCTCTGACATCACTGTAATTGCAGATGCCTTGATGAGGAAAACCACAGTTATTTACACAGCGAGGAATGTCACATGCTTCACCTTTCCAGTTTTCAGAACATTCACACTGAACAGTGTTGCTGCTATTACTGATTTTACATTCTCCTCGGCCTGAGCAATTATTCGGACACATGTCAAAACTATAAAAACAGTGGGAGAAAATTAAATCAAAACAAAGCAACACTTGGAATAATTTAGCAGAACTTCCTCGTATACAAGGTTTAAGAATGTCCCTGTCCCTCCAGTTCACTCATAAGCATAACTGCAGTACTATTCAGCCTAAATAGGGTCACCCAACATTGCATAGCTAGGGCAAGTAATGAAATCAAAGTGACCTTGTTGGATTCTCTTAAGAAGAGACAAGTTAAAGAACTTACAAAGAGAGAAGAGATTCTTGCAAAATGTCCAGGCTTAGCTTCTCAAGGATGGCATGACTATCCTATTCTTGGTACTCACAAATGATGAGCATTACAAAACTGCCAAAGGCATGTTGCAAGTTTGGAGAGGGAAAGGACAAAACAAACTGCCAACAATGCACCATCATCCTCATGGCATATATATCGCTCTGGGTAGCCTCTGAAAGTTCATAGAATTTGTTAAAGATTATTGCCCAGATTGGTGTATTTAAAATTCCTCAATATGTGTATCTACTCATTTCAGATAGAAAAAAAGGGGTGGCCAATGTAAAGTAATATGGAAGTTTAACTATAATGTGTTTTATAATAACATGACTTAAGATAACTGCATTGACAGAACTCTGAAAAGACATAATTCATTTTTTTAAAAGGGGGAGGATAACAGAACTGTCAAGATACTTTAAGAGTGTAGATTTCTTCTAAGGCCTATAAAGAAAACTGAAAAAGATTTTGTAGCAAAACATGTCAGAAAATCAGGAGTTATAAAAACAAGCTAATTAATGTTCATGCCTACACCCAAATATCAGTTTATGGTACATTTATAATAAACTTTTATAAATATTTGTATACAGTATATTTATAATCTATATTATTATTATTATTATTATCTGTTCAATGCACATGCTTACTTTTCAAGCCTCAGTAAGTAGAATAAATAAAGTATTTGGTTAGAAAGGTAAATGACATGCCTGTAGGCCTCTAGAAAGTGGTGCCTATTATTTCTATATAATAATACTTACACATAAATGAAGCTTCAATAAAGGTCAGTTTCATCTTTATTAAGAAAAAAGCCTTGCAAGGCAAAAGTTTACAAAAAATAAAGTGTAAATTTCAGATTGGACTTGTTATGCTGAAATGGCCACAACAATCACACTTCATTTTTATAAAAGGCCTAAAAGAAAACTGAGGTAAGGCATTTCCATTATATGCTCATATCTATGCCTTGTACCAATCATATGGCAAATAATTTCCTACAGATAAACTTATTAACCACACATGAGGGAATAGTACATAGCCAACAATTTTACTGAAAAACAAAGAGGAGGAGGTAACTCATAGGACCTTTTAAACTAAAGGAGGGAAAGTATAATTTCAACTTCCCCTTAAACTTCAACCTTTCTACTCAAATGCCTTTAGGCATAGGTTTACTTCAAGTGCCACAATTAATACTGAGCACTCTTTAGAGCAATAAGTTACATAACATCTCAAAATACAAAAAGTATTTTTGTATCTCTAAAATGTGAAAATGACAGGTAATACATCAAAATATCTGCTTGTTTATCTGTCTAAATTGAAGTATTAAAAAAAAAACTGTTTAAAATATGACTCAGAATGAGAAATAAGGCAGAGTGCCAATCTGTGTAAAAATAAAATATAACTACTTTTCTTATTCTAAAAGAAAATTAGGGAACATGTGAGTAGCCGTGGGTATAAGCTTCAAGGGTTCTCCTGCTGAGGTCAGCCCAAAGCTAGGATTCAGTGCAACCCGAGGACACCAGGAAAATGAATGATAGTGTTTTACGTATGTGCTTCTGGGCATTTTTCTGGGATAAAAACCATTGTTTTATTTGGCTTTTCATAGGGTCTGGGACCCCTAAAACAGTTTAGGATTCCTTTTTAAAGAACAGAAATTTGGCCCGGCCGGCATGGTTCAGCAGTTGAGCATCAACCTAGGATCCAGGAGGTCGCAGTTCAATTCCCGGTCAACAAACATGCTGGGGTTGCAGGCTCGATCCCCAGTAGGGGGTGTGCAGTAGACAGCCGATCAATGACTCTCTCATCATTGATGTTTCTCTCTCCCTCTCCCTTCCTCTCTCTGAAATCAATAAAGATATATCTAAAAAAAAAAAATTTGGGAACTTGGAACCAAGAAGCTAATAATATTTACAATAACCTGCCCTGGCTGGTGTAGCTCAGTGGTTAGAGAGTCAGCCCAAGCACTGAAGGATTTTGGGTTTGATTTCCGGTCAAGGGCATGTACCTACGTTGCAGGTTAGATCCCCAGCCATGACTGGGGCTCATGTGAGAGGCAACCAGTAGATGTGTCTCTCTCACATCAATGTTTCTCTCTCTCCCTTGCCACCTCCTTCCCTTTCCCTTCCACTCTCTATAAAAAGCAATGGAAAAAATATCCCTGGGTGAAGATAAAAAAAATAAAAATAAAATTACAAAAACCTCATCATTCCTTCGTTTAACAAATACTAATTCTGGTCTCTAGGAGAGATCAAGGTTTTCCCCTATACCAATCAGGGTAAGAAAAACATGCATTCCTAAGGAAGATACTGACCACAGAGCTAGGAGAAGAGCTCTCCAGTGATGATAGGCAAAAGGCTTCCAATGTCAAGGGGTGCTTGAATTGCCTTGTCTCCTGGGGTGCTCACTCCCTTGAGTTTCTCTTCTCCCCCAAGGCTGCTATAGCAAGGGGCCATTTAACAATGAAGCCTGTGCCCTCTAGCTCCTGACCTAAAAAACTACAGGGAACCCAGAATGGGGCCTGGATGAATGGCTAGCACAAGGCTACTCAAAATGTGGGCCATAGGTAGACAGCAGAAGCATCACCCAGGAGCTATTCAGGAATACAGATTCTCAGGCCCCAGCACTGCTGAACTATAATCTCTGTGTAGTGCCCAGGAATCTGTGCCTTAACAAGCCCTCCAGAAGACCCCTGTGCATGTGAGGTCTGAGAAGCCCTAGCCTAGCACATCTCCCCTTTCTCCCCTCCCCTTCCGAGAAGAAATTCACCAGATTCCTACTCTCAATGCCATGAATTTCTAACCTTCCATCTCTACTAAGCCCCTGACTCCACCCTTCCCAGCTAGAGAGTCCTAGGGCCTCCTCTGCTTACTCAACCTCATTAACTGTCAGTTTCTTCCTCCCTAAGACTTTCTTCTCCGGGCTTCTGTCACAACAAAGCCCACTGGCATTCCTCTGCCCCTTAGCTGCCTCTACTATCCCTCTCCTCATTGTGCACATGCCCCACAGGCCAATCAGTCACTGTCCACATGCCAGTGATTCCTAGATGACATCCCAACCCTGACAGCAATTCTGAGTCCTAGATCCCAATATCAATGTCCTGTTTAGACATCTTATATGCACCCAACCAAACTTATCACCCTCTCCCCTCAACCCAGCCTTTATGCCTGCCAGTGTCACTAAAAATCACCTTGCTAGTACTGTGATAAGCTGCCCAGGCTGCCAAGTCACAAACCCTGGGCGCCTGAAAGACTGAATCGCCATACTAATCAAGATAGAGATGGCTTTAAATCAGCCTGAATGAATACTGAGATCATGAGAAAATGGGCAGAAAAAGAACCCAACAAAAAGGTACATGAGGAGGTCACTGCCTATGCCAGGAGTTAGCAAACTTATTTTCTAAGAGGCCAAATAGTATTTTAGGCTTGGAGGGCCTCAGAAGCTCTTTACCATAAGCCACTCACTTATGAAAAGAAACATTTCTTTCTTCTTTTTATTTAGAGTTTGAAGTGAAAGTGAGTTTATTAGTGAAGCAGTGAGACAGAGAATAGGCTACTCTACAGAGAGAGTAGTCCCCCTTTAGTGAAATTTGCTTCCTTTATTGAGGTTCATTTAATTGGGGGGGGGGGGCATTTCTTAAGAGGAAAAAAAGAAAAGGCAAAAGTTAGCCTCTCTCCTATCACAACAAATTCCAAAAGCTGCTGAAGTCTCTGTCTACATTTCCTTTGTAATGTCAACTAAGTTGTCATCAATGGTCCAACCACTGAGTACATGAAAACTACTACTATTTGTTAAATCGTACTTAGCAAAACCCCCAATGTCTTAATCCATTAACAGGAAAATGTCCCTCTCTTCCAGGAAAAGCTCAACAGAAAGATCTGGGTTAAAACTGTGGTCCCAGCATTTTGACAATTTACTGTTTCCCACCAGTTTCCTCAATTATAAAACCACTAGAAAAGCAGTGCCCATATTTCACTGAGTTTTTAAAAAAACTTTAAATGAGAAAATCCATTCAAACTGCTTACTGCAATGCCTGTCACACTGTAAGCCTTCAATATGTTAGTCATTATTATTGCTAAAACAAAGTATATAGTCTTTTGAATAAAATCGCAAATATTAGACTTAAATATCTTACTTGTAAGTGATATTAAATCCAGTCAAATTATAAGCAGCATCACTAAAAAAATGCAGCAGGGCATAACCTGATGTGGCAACAACCTCAGGGACAGTCTCATTGCCGTCTCTCTCAGGAACAATGAGGCCGCTGAAATGAAAACACATTCCTTATAAAGGGAAACACAATCACAGGCATGTCACATGGCAGCAAACACAAATTCAGAGCTGAAATATATCCGTATAATTTAAAAAAACACTTCCAGGAAGAGGGGCAACTTCCTGTGATAAATGCACAGTACAATCCTATTAGTTCTGGCTCGTCTGAGGAATAGATCTGAATCTGTTGCTGGGCTCTCCTTTATTCTGGGTTATATTTCTATTAAGATTTAAAACCAATGGCCCTATTTTTTTTAATAAAAATTTTTATAATACTTCTTTGAAAAACTGAGTAAACCTCCAATAATCAAAGAAGTAACAAACTTCATGAGCTGATGAATGTCAAATACATACCAGCAAAAGACATGAAAAGTAAAAACATAAATAAGCTTGATAAACACCCACTGAAAGGGTCTAACTTTCAGTATCTCACTCAGACTCCAGCATACAAAAATATTTTTTGGGTGCCTGGAGAGGGAAAGAATTACTAAGTCAAAGGGTCTAAATGATGGCTTTAAGGCTCTTGACCCACAATACCAACTTGCTTTCCAGAACAGACCTGCCAAATTGAAATTCCATTAATAAAGAATGAAAGGGTCCGCCTTACCTCACCCCACCAACAAGTAAGATTATCAGTCCTATTACTAGCTTTGCTAATTTAATAAGTAAAAAATGATTTTAAAATTTTGATTCTGAGTTTCTTTTACACTCCTGATGTTAATCATTTTTCCTATGTTTACTTGCCTACTGCATATCTTCATATATTCATATCTTTTACCCAATTATTGAGGCACTGTCACCACCAACACCACCCTCACCTCACTCTGTAAAAGCCTAAATCCTTACCAGGCCATATGTAGTCTGCTCCACACACACACACACACACACCAATGAACAAACATCTTATCCACTATTCTCTCCCCTTCATTCACTCGACCCCAGCCACACTGGCCTCTTTGCTCTCTCAGAGCACACACCAGGTAAACTCCCACCTCAGGGCCTAGAACAATTTTAAATGCTCCTCATTCACTATGATGTAGCAATTCTATTTATTTGTAGAAGAAACATCAGTATATACAAAGACAAATATACAAGAATTCTCACCGCAGCACTATTCAGAATGCCAATAGGCTGAAATCCACAGGAAGTTGCTAGAATGAATCATTACATCTCTGTAGATCTGCAGGACTAACAAGGAGCCTCATCAAGACATTCTGATGGGGGGGAGCAGGATGCAAAACAATGGGCCTAATATGTACGTATATTTACATGTATTTATATAGGTTCATATGAAAATGGCTAGAAGAATACATAAGCAGGGGGAAAGGGGGACAAGATTTTGATTCAGAGAGACTTTTTAATAAGAAGACAACACTAGGAACCCTAGGACTCTGAAGGTGCTCTAGAGGTTACAAAACAGTGAAGAATTTTCTACCATGTATTCAACTAACATTCATTTACTAAGCACTTACACATGGGGCACTATTCTAGGTACCAAGAATACAACAGTGAAGAAGTTCCTGCCTTCATGGTGTTCTAAAAACCAACAAATAAACCTAATACAGCTCCTCCCCTCCCCCACCAGGTGTGTATATATAATGCCAGGCAGAGAGAAATGCTCTGAAGGGAAATAGAACAAAGTAAAAGAACGAAAGGTGCTCCTTTAGACAGAGCAGTTAGGGAAGGCCTCTTGGAAGAGGTGACATTTGACCAGAAACCAAAATAAAGGTTTCAACCATCATCATGCTTTCATCAGTTTTATACACCCAAAACCCCTGAAATGCTGAAAGGGTAAGTACTGGCCACCTAGAAACGGGTTTGTCAAAAGCAATTTTCTCATAAGAAATATGGACACAGAAAAGGACTGGGGGCTCTGTGACATGTGGGAGACCCTGTACTCCCTGTTATCCTAGCATGAGCTTCAGGATCAGACATGGGAGCTCTGATCTTTGCACCACATGCCTAGTCATGTCACTGACACATCTCAGCCTCAGTTTCCTCAAATGCACAATGAGAGAAATCTTATCTACCTCACAGCGATGCAATGAGAATCAAACTGCTAAAGCATGTGAAGTGCTTAAATAGTGCCCCACACTAGGAGGTGCTCAAGTGATAGCTAATGGTACTTATTATTTTTATGTGGTGGGAACGTTTAAAAGTGTAGGATGAATGGTAGAATGGGTGGAGTAAGAAAGGATGGAGAGTCACAGAAGAAAAAAACAAAACTCCAAAAGTAATAATGTTTTTTGAAGAATGGTTTCAGAGGAAAACTGCTCCATCACCACTACCACCTCTGCATCTCCCTACCAACAGATCCTAGCAGCTCTACAAAGGTGCTACACTTACGCATTTGTTGAACTGAATGCACCACAAAATCATAATGTGGTAGAACTGGAAGAGACTTGCTCCAGTGGTTCTCAAATTTGTCTAGTAATGGAATTGTGTTTATTAAACAAATTTTATTTATAACTTCAATATATAAAAGACAAATGGGATCAACCAGTTTGAAGTCAAATTAAACTTCATAGTTTGCAATACACTCAGAGAAAATACCATATAACACCTTCAGTTTAGGTTTTAGAAGCTGAAGATTAGAGTAATTAATGACCTGTTCAAGTTCCCACAGAGACTAAAGCAGAACTCAGATTTAAAGTCCGTATCTTGCCCAGCTGGGTGTGGCTCAGCGGTTGAGCATCAACCTAGGAGCCAGGAGATCGGGGTTTGATTCCTGGTCAGGGCACAGGCCCAGGTTGCGGGCTAGGCAGCCAATCAATGACTCTCTCATCATTGATGTTTCTATCTCTCTCTCTCCCCCTTCCTTTCCTCTCTCTGAAATCAATAAAGATATGTTTAAAAAAAAAGAAACCACGTTCTTTAAAAAAGAAAAGTCCATATCTTCTGCACTAGCCGGTTTGGCTCAGTGGTTAGAGCATCAGCCTGTGGACTGAAGGGTCCCAGGTTTGATTCTGACCAGATTGTAGGCTCCATCCCTGCGAGACGCGCGCGGGAGGCAACCAATCAATGTGTCTCTCTCACATCGATGTTTCTCTCTCTCTCCCTTCCACTCTCTCTGAAAAGCAATGGAAAATAATATCCTCGGGTGAGGATTAAAAGAAAAAAGAAAAAAAGAAAGTCCACATCTTCTGAGTCCTGTATGATTTTTCTTCTCTTTATTGGCTGAACTATCTGCCGCCAGGCTCTCTCCACTCTAGGTCCCCAGCACATCACCATTGGGTTGATTCCTCTATCCAAGTCCTCCTGACCCAACAGCACTCCTCTGCTCCCCATCTTATGACAGGGCCTTTTGGTCTAAACAGTGGTTTCCAAATTATTCTGCATATCACTGCTTTAGAGGTTTTGTGTTTCAGGAAAATTTTAATTTTAAAACACATTATTTTCTCACTATAGTTTTAGAAAATTCATACTCAAATACTATGCACCATAAGTTAAATTTTAACACAATCAATGGATTAATTTATACTATCAGTTAACCAATTTATTTTTATAGAAACCTAAAATTTCTCCTGTTTTGTATACATATACTTTGGCTTCTCTCAAAAGTTGTTAATTAGAACAATTATAGCTTCTGCTTATGCTTGTGTTGCTGTTGATTTACGCCTGCTCATCAAATACGCAGTCCAGGTGAACCGCAGAACTGATTATGCATGCCTGCTTGGCTGATGTTCCCAAAGGGCTAATGGCAAGCTGATTCAAAGTGCCAGCACATAACAGAGACTCCATATATTTGGATTAATGAACTCAGTCTCAAGTGAACCCCCAATAAGTATACTATCATGACATTATACTATAGGTAGTTTTGTGCTTATGTTAAAACTTGGGGTGCCTCTTGCTATAATGCAAGGTATGCTTCAAATTCTGGAATAAACATATACATGCTCAACACTTGGCAAATGACATTTTAATGCTTAGAATGGCCTATCCATCCTTCTCTTTGGCCTCGTAAGTGAATCTCTGAAACCGGTTCTTAGTTCAAAGATATGTTAGAGAAATTTCCTAACCAAAGGAGGGGAGAAATACAAGGGCACGTCAGTCCCTGGTCTCCTATGTCCTTCGGCAACTCATGTACTGTTTACTTTGCTACTTTCTCATCCACATGAGCCTAGTCCCATGTGAGGAACACAAAAAATATTTGTTGAATTGATTTCTATTTTAAGTCAAGGAAATAAAATATTTGAGGAGAAAAAATCCAGAAAGTGAGTTGTAGATGAAAAACTGACAACTATGGCTCTCTAAGGAGATGTGTGTTTTAGAAAAATATTATTTTATATATCTTCTATCAAATAAAAGGAAGAAAAATAGAATGGTTTTGAATTCCCATGTGGTCAGAAAGATAACACAGCCACTTATTGTTAATAAAACCTAAAATGCCAAAAACAATTCAGAACACCTCATATATTGGGTGTTAAGCTATTTTAATAATATAAAATATAGTTATTGAAAAAATTGTAATACATATTGGTATATTCCTCATTCTCCTCAGATAACCACTGTTCATCTTCCGTGTATTCTTCCAAAAATTTTCTCTCACCCATAAATACACACACACACACACACACACACACACACACACCCCTATATTTGAATTCAACAAATGCTTCCTGAAGGCCTATGTAATGAGGCATACAACAAGGATTAAAATGAACATGGTCCCTGATTTAATTTTTTACAGAAATAATTACATATTACTCACAAAACATTTTTAAAATGTAAACTTCACCACCACCATGAGAAGCAGATGAACGATACTACTATCACAACGGTACAGAGCAGAAAACTAAAAAGAGAGGTCAAGTACTCTACCAGAAACTTACCTAGTAGCTACAGAAAACCGTCAGGCCTCCAGAAATAGGACTTTTTCCATGAAATAGTGTGTTAAGGGATAATAAAGGTGAGTCCAGTAAGAATGCAATCTAGGAGATATGTTTGAATTCAGAAATCACATGATTAACTACTTATATAAGTGAGCTTACCTAAAGGCAGCAATTAGTGGTGCATAAATTGAATCCCCGTCATAAACATATAAATGGTCCCAACTACACTCTGTAGCAAAATGATTGAAACGAAGTCTCATTATTCTATTTGGCCTGAAAACAAAACAAAACAAAACAAAAGTAATTTATAATAACCATAACTATCAAACATTTGAAAAAAAATATACCTAGATTTTTAAAAAATTTACAGAGAGAAGAAATTAATAGTAAAGAGTATTTCTTTATTCGTCAAAGATTTACTTAGTATTTACTATGTGCAAGAGGCCACTAAACACACAATGATAAACAAAATAGATATATGGTCTGGCCTCTTTGGGCCTATAATCTATACAGTAGCCATTCATTAACAGCCTCTGAACCAACCCATTAGCCCTTCCATTTCTGCACTTCCTTATTCAACTTAAGATTCCACACTACATCATTTCACAAACACACCTGCCAATTCTCTAAACACCCCTGCCCCTCTTACTTTCCATGGAACTACCTGGCAAAAGCCCTGGTCTAGAGGAAAACAGTTACCTGTTTTGACTTAGATTGAATCCAAGGAAAATTAACCCAGGCCAGAGAAAGTCACACCACTGAGTAAGCTGGTTCCAGTATTGGTAACTGCTCACCAACTTCAAATGGTACTTCAATTCTGCCAGCAGTCCTACTACTAACTCTCTCATCCTCTCCACAATTGCTGCTCTCGATTACTATTTCAAACTATTCAGTCCCACCTCTCTGCTTGTGCTCAGCACTGAGACAAAAATCCCTGAAATTCCCATTTTCCAAAACAGATACACCTACCTACTTATCCTTCCATTTCTCAAATATTTAACATCTCCCTCTCATCTAGAATGTCCACATCCACATTTAAATCTCCTTATGTATCACATATTTTACAAAAAACAATAAAACATAAAAAGCGTCAAATCCCAACTCTTCTTCTAGCTATGAGCCCACCCATCCCTTTCTCCTCTTAATAGAGTAAAACTCTACAGAAGACTGCTTTCTCCATTTCCTCATATCCTACTCACCCCTTCACTCTCTAACCAGGCTTCAGCTCAAACACTCCACTCAAAAAGCTCTTGTATTAGCAACACCATTTAGTTTCTGCTGATGCCTAATTATATGTCTCCAGTTTAGACTTTTCTTCTACCTCACACTTATTTGTCTAACATCTCTAACCAAACAAATAAATAAATATATAAACAAGTTAACTCAGATGGTGATGAGTACTGTGAAGAAATTAAAGGGACTATGAGATGATAGTACAACAGGTGGTGGGGAAATACCCCAGAGCTCTAAAGGAGGTTAGAATGACAAGAGATAAGCTATGTGACAAGCTTGGGAACAATGTTTCAGGCAGAGGAAACAGCTCTGTCTTAAACTCTCAGGAAGAAAGAAGTTGATGTGTGGGAGCAATCTGAAGAAAATCAGCAAGTCTGAAACAGCAAGTTGAGGGAACCACATGAGATAAGTAAGAGGTAGGCAAGGGGCAAAAGCAAAAATCAAAAGGCCAATTTCAAGGCTATTACCCAAGGAGCCCAGGAAAGTGAAGATGGTGGTTTTTACAATAATTTCAGAGATGAATGAATATGAAAAGGAGAATGTAGACGGATTTGGGAGATACTCTAGAGGGAAAACAGACAGAAGTTACTGATAGGCTGAACGTGGGGATAAGAAAAAAGAGAAATTATTTTTTGCTTAGGCCAAGGAGGAGCAACCACTGAGATCACATGCAGAGCAATGGTGGAGAAGGACACCAGGTGGGAGTGAACTGATAGAAAGGGCAAGGGCAGACAACAGAGCTTAAGTTCTCAAAGTGTGGCCCACAGAACGCCAGGGGCCCTGAGACCCATTTCCCGGCCCAAGAGGTCAAGACCATGTTCACAATCATTAATACTATGCTATCATGAGCCTTATCACCACACTGGCATATAGTAACGGTGAAGAGCAACAGTGGGTGAAACTGTGGACACCTTGGAGCATAGCACGACAGCAGCACCGAACTGCACTAGTCATCACTGTTATTCTCCACAACCATCATGCCCTCAGAGGAAAAGAAGAAATCACAGCTTCATTTACGCACAGCTTTATTACACGGTAAAAACTAGTACTTTCATTAATAGTGCACATCTTTTTCATATTCTGCATGACAAGATGGGAAGTATGCATAAAGCACCTCTGCTACCTAACAAATGGTCTCAAGGAAAATCACTTTTGCAATTGTTTGAGTTGTGAGCTGAACTAGCTGCTTTTCTCTTGGAGCACCATTTACCATTTTTACTTGAAAGAACAACTGACAAACTATGGTTTTTCAGAGTTGGATATATGGCAGATATTTTCTTGAAAATGAACAAAGTAAGACTATCACTTCAAAGAAAACAACTGGCAGTATTTGTTGCCAAAGATAAACACAAGTTTTCAAGCAATGATTTGAGCTTTGGAAAATTGTTATCTGCCAGCCAGATACAACTTCCCAATATTTAAACCTTTCTGATGAGATTGATGGTGATAAATAATGTGATTTTTTTAAAGTGATTTGAGAGGGGGGTGTGTGTGTGTGTTTATCTGTGTGTGTGTGTGTGTGTGTGTGTGTGTGAGAGAGAGAGAGAGAGAGAGAGAGAGAAAGAAACATCGATTTTGTTGTTCCACCCACTTATGCATTCATTGGTTGATTCTTGTATGTGCCCTGACCAGGGACTGAATCCACAACCTTGGCATATGGGGACAATGTTCTAACCAACTGAACTACCTGGCCAGCGTCCAATGTGACTTTAAAAAAATATATGATGTAATTAAATATATCAACATTTGGGAGATATGCATAATTGAGTGAGCCAATATTTTCCAAATGACCCACATATCATGTTATAAAACCATGCACAGGTTAAAGATCCATTCAAAGTACAAAAAAACTAATTAATTTTAATTTAAAAAATTCCAAAAATTCATTCACATTGTTTCAGATTCCACATTGCAATTTACTGTTAAGAAACAACCACCTGTCAAAGACCATCCACAATTCTTTAAAAGGGCTATGAAAACCCTTTCCCCTTTTCCCACTACATATTCAAGTGAAGCCTAATTTTCTTCACATACTTCAACCATCATAACATATTGTAACAAAGTGAATGCAGAAGAAAGTATGATAATCCAGCTGTCTTCTATTAACCCAGAGAAGAGATTTATAAAAATGTAAAGTAATGCCATTCTTTTCATTAACTTTTTTTTTAAGTACAGGGTTTCTTCTTCCTTTCTTTCTTTTCTTTCTGTTTTTCTTTCTTTCTTTCTTTCTTTCTTTCTTTCTTTCTTTCTTTCTTTCTTTCTTTCTCTCTCTCTCTCTCTCTCTCTCTTTCTTTCATCTTTCTTTTTGTCTTTCTTTTTTTTATATGTCTTTATTGATTTCAGAGAGAGGAAGGGAGAGGAAGAGAGAGAGAGAAACATCAATGATGAGAGAGTCATTGATGGGCTGCGTCCTGCTCGCCCCTCCTGGGGATCGAGCCTGCAACCGGGGCACGTGCCCTGACTGGGAATCGAACCTTGATCTCCTGGATCATAGGTTGATGCTCAACTGCTGAGCCACGCCAGGTGGGCCAGGGTTTCTTTCTTCATAAAAATATGTCATTTATGCTAATGCATAGTGGTTTTATTAGTTTTTATTATTATTATTATTTTAATATATCTTTATTGATTTCAGAGAGAGAAAAGAAGAGGGGGAGAGAGAGAGATAGAAACATCAATAATGAGAGAGTCATTGATCAGCTGCATCCTGCACGCCTCCAACTGGGGAACGAGCCCACAACCCGGGCATGTGCCCTCACCGGGAATCGAACCCCGATCACCTGGATCCCGGGTCGATGCTCAACCGCTGAGCCACGCCCGGCCGGGCTAGTTGTTTTTAAATAAATGAGTTAAATAATATTTCTTAGTTTTAATTTTTAATATTAGCTTAATTTTTAAAAACAGTTATAACCCACAAAAACAAAAGTTATTTAGGATTCTATAAATTTAAGAGTGTAATGAGGTCCCGAAACCAAAGAGTTTGAGAAACACTGCTTTAAAGGTTTGTTGAAGGTAAGAAAAAGAAGACAACAGCTGGAGGGGCATAGAAGCCCAGAGAAGGAGTTGTTTGGAAAATAATAGTTATTCTAACTTTCCTTCCCTCAATAAAAATAGGTATTTCGAAAAATGACACAATATTATAATTTTCTAATGCTTTAAGCAAACCATTTAAAATACTCAACAAGGGATGGGACGGGGTGGAATGGGTCATTGGGGAGAAAAAGGGACATCTGTAATATTTTAAACAAAAATAAAAAATACGTTATCTTAACTATAAAAAAAATAAAATTAAAATAAAATAAAATATTCAGCAGTGTTTAACTAGTACAACTGAAAATATACAAATTTCTAATGTGTACAATTCATCTGCAGCATTAAATCAACACAAAAGGTTTTTTTTTAAGTAAAAAATAAAGATTAAGAAAAATAAAATTGACTTGTAAAATAAGAAGTTATCAAATAAAAAATATTTTAAGTACTTTATGCTACAGACTGTTAATTTTACTTACAGGAAAAGTAATGTCACAACAAGCTCTATCCCGAAAAAAAATTAAATTAATCATTACTACTTACTGTCCTTCAATGAGCCATGTGCACTTCGTTTTATATTTATAATTTCCAGGTCCATCTGTTACAAACCCAGAAGATCCAGTTAGTCTGTAATTTAAAAAAATACAAAAAAACTTAAATCCATCAAAATTTTATATATTAATATCTTTTTCTTCATTCTCAATACAATCCAAGTTAGGCATAGTGAGTACATTAATGCATACTACATAATCAGAAGGAAATAGCTGGATAGTTATATTCAGATTACACAAATACAGATGAAACAAATACATACACTTAAGGAGATACAAATATACTAAAACCAACAAAAATGAATGAAAAGCGTATCCAAATCTTTCCAGATAAGATGAGAAAAGTCATACTGTTTAATAAAAATGGCCACAAGTATTTATTTATAAATATGAGTTGTTTTTCTTTTAATCCTCACCTGAGGACATTTTTTCCATTGCTTTTCAGAGAGTGGGAGAGACAGAGAAACATCAATGTGAGAGAGACATATTGACTGGTTGCCTTCCGCACGAGCTCCAACCACGGGGGGGAGTGAACCCACAACCGAGGTACATGCCCTTGACCGCGAATTAAACCCACTCTAACCAGTGAGCCACACCAACCAGGGCTCAGTTTGCTTTTTTCTTTATACTTTATGTCTAGTACATTTTGTTATACAGAAATTTTTATTATTTAAGGAGGATGTTAATTCCTTCCTCATTGTTTCCAGGTAATTTTTCCTCCCTCTTCCATCAACAATGTTAGCCTCTCTGAAACAGATGCTCTTCTGGATCAGCCTCCCTCACTTTTCTTTGTTTGTTTGTTTTGTTTGTCTTTAAATATATCTTTATTGATTTCAGAGGGAGGAAAGGAGAGGGAGAGAGAGAGAAACATCAATGATGAGAGAGTCGTTGATCGAGCCCACAACCCGGGCATGTGCCCTGACCAGGAATTGAACCCTGATCGCCTGGACCCTAGGTCGACGCTCAACCGTTGAGCCACGCCCGGCCGGGCCTCCCTCACTTTTTTAGATATCTACTGAGATCCCAGTTACTGCTCCTTGCTAAAGACATTAGCATCTAGTTCACTGCCTTCCACTCAACTACATCAACATCTAAGATGTTCCATCCAAAATCCAGACTTTCCATGTCTTAATTTCATCAATCTTTCTTCCCTCCCACTTTATTCATCCCTCTAGGTCAAGGGTGGGGAACCTTTTTTCTGCCAAAGGCCATTTGGATATTTATAACATCATTCGCTGACCATACAAAATTACCAACTTAAAATTAGCTATGAAAAAAAGCTCTCAGATTTATTGAATTTCGAGTCCCGCCTGCAGTTGCCTTGGCAGGGCCAGACCATTACCAGTCTTGTCATTACCAGTAACAGCACTACTACCAAAAATCTCCATTTTAGGTATCCTGTACTCCTATACTACCATCTGTTCTCTCTCCAGTTCATTTAGTCTTCCTCCCCCTTCTCAGTGAGTCATCAGCCCCATGGGGACCTCCAATCCACTAAACTAACACTTCTCCATGTTCATCCCCCATCGCCCACACATTTCACTTTCCTACTCCCCTAGTTAAGATTCCATGGTCTATCACAATTATCATGCCCTGAAAAACCCTTGACCTCTTTGCCCTTCTCTCCCTCTAATATATTTAACGGACACAAATGTCTCCATGTCTGCTCCCCCACATTTATTCACCTCCAAAATGTTAGTCTGAGCCAATCATGGTTTCCTGTGTCCTCTGCCAATAACTGACAAGGAATGTATATTCCTAGTTAAGATTAGATTCTATTGCAACTGACAGAAAAACCTAAACAGTAATGGCTTAACTGAGATATAAAGTCCAAAAAGCAATCCAGAGCATATAAGGCATTTCCATGATCATCAAGAACCTAATGTTCTATCTTCTTGTTCTGTCATCCTCAACATGTGGCTTCCACCTCATAATCCAAGATACTGCTCAAACTCCAGCTATTATTCCCACATTCTACCCAGCAGGAAGGAGGAAAAGAAAACGAGGCATATACCCCCTCCAAGTCAAACATAACAATTCAACTTAACCATAAGCCAAAAGTTAGACAAACCTAAATGTAGAGGCTGAGAAATGTAGCCATTATCCCAGATGACTATGAGTCCAGTGAAAATCAGGACTTTCTTTACTAGAGAAGTGGAGAAAGACTATGAGGGGTCATTATTAGTCTTTCTCACAATATGTAATCTAATACTTAAATGTGAGAAGTCTGATGAAGGACTTCTAGGAAATATTTTTTCTAATTCTTAAAGACAGTGTGGTAGACACAGAGATGTGCCCATTCAAGGAAGGACTTGCTGTCAGCTGCAGCCAGAAGTGTGGTGATCAGACAGCCTCAAGCTGTTAGTCCTTCAGGGCTGCCTTCCCAGGGCAGCC